AGAGGTGTGTGGCGTAGAAGTGGATATTATGACATCTAGTCTGTACTGCAATCTATCTGTATCCATAGTTCTGTATCTGTAATTCTAGTTCCTATTCAAGGTCAATGTACTCCTCCCTATACGAGAGTCATCAGACATCTACATTAATAGTATACATCTGCCAGTGAAAAACTGTCTATGGGCTGTAACTGTGCTGGGATAAGTTTCCTTGACTTTGCACCACTTGTTTTGATTTATACAAGGTCACTCTGACAGTCTCAGTAAAACACTTACGCCCATTAAGGCCTCCAAATTAGTAGGCTATTTCAGAACAAGTCTATTGTAATTGAGCTTTTCAGACCAAGTCTATTGCAATTGAGCTTTTCAGACCAAGTCTATTGCAATTGAGTAAGCTCCATGACAAAACTAACAATGTACTATGTTCATTTTCTGCTTGGGACCGCAGAGAGCACCTGATCCGAGAGAAGCCTCATTCTGCGCCCTGACTGACCTGGTGTCCTGTTTCCTGTTGATTTATTTCCCAGAGGTAGAACAGTCATCGGTGGATAGAGATTGACGTTGAACTACAGACCGTAGATAACCTGGGGCTGGAATAGACTACTATGGAGTCAGCACAGAATAAAGTTAGTGGACTTTTTTGTTTTTGTGGGAATTGGTGACATCATCCTGTCTGAACGATTTCTTTCCTTTTCGCTGTTTCCCACGTAGGCTCAACCAACTTCTCCTAATAAACAGACAGTGAAGAACAGGTCCAAGTCAACAGATGAGATTCAACAAGCCAAAAAGGTAGACAACATTATACCATCAGCCAGTCTGCTCATGTCATGTGTATCCAAAAGCATCTTCATCCATCGCATTGTTTCACAGCTGGGAGTGCCCCCTGCTGGTGTGTTTAAACCACCTGAGCTGCAGGTCTTCCTTTCATTACAACACGTGGAATGTTATGTCAGAGAGAGAGGAGAGCGAGAGATGGCTGTCAATTCCTTAAACCAGTGATGGAACTACTATTTGTCAGATAGATAACTTTGGGCTGGTTTCCTTTGTTGGTATGCTAATGTAAGTCTTTCTCCAGGCTTTTCATACGACACAGAAATCGTTGCCAGGGAAGCCGGAGACTGAGAATAAGGTGGATATAACACAATTTATATTTTTCCTCTTCCGAGCCAGAGACCACATGACCTTTCCATTGTCTAATCACATTCACTGCCGATACTGCTAAAATATCTTATTCTCCACATCTGCCAGGAACCCCCAGAGAGTCCATCCTCATCAGAAGAACTGAAATGAAGGGGCAGACAGTGCCAGGCAGAGAGTCGTCTGCAGTTTGTATTCTCATAACGACAAAAAACTCTGTCCATTTTTTGTAAACGTCTTATGAATGTGGTTGTTTACTAAATAAGAAAAAGTGTCAAATGTATTGCTTGGGAGGATATAATTAGAGTTCCAAGAATGAATAGAGACTTACTCTACCAAACACAGGCACTTAACAGAAAGCATACGTTGTAATGAAATTGAGTGGAAAACATATGTGCATGTGTCAGTTGGGATCTGTGTGAGCATGCAGTATAGTGGATCTAACACATTTGTTATGTACTTTCTCCTAAAACACTTTTTTTTTGGAACTGATGTCAGAATTAATGTCTGGATGCCACTTTGAAAATGTGAACCAATTGAACCTGTAAATAAACCTTGTGTATGTCAAAAAACAAAGTTATTTCAATCCTAATACCACAGACATAGGCGGGAGGCAGACCGTCAGGGTTTACAGTTCTTTAATAGCTTTCTTTTCTATCTTCTTAGTATCAAAATGCGTTTGTTTACAGGATAAAAGCAACAGAACAACAACACAAGGCTAGACTTGGGCACACTCACACCACATACATGTTAGAGGTCACAGCCTCAGCAGTATCATCGTAGCAGGCCACGTCTGGAGAGGGAGGAGAGGGAGGAGAAAGCTTCATCAGTAACGTTGTCATACTGGAAACCATTGGTAGGCACTCACACATCATTTGGCTCTTCATCCCAAGCAGGGTCACACTCATCCTGTCCCCTCTCCCCAGCGGTAGTAGTGGTGTGGCTGAGCACAGCTTGTGGCACCTGTCCTCTCCCGTGGCTGACTTCCTGTCCTCTCCCGTGGCTGACTTCCTGTCCTCTCCCGTGGCTGACTTCAATCTCCTGAACAACGTCGTTAGCCCCAATGTTCCTGGCGTGGGGGCGTGGCTTAGGTCCCTGATTAACACTCATTCCCACAACGGGACAAAGGCTAAAAAGGAGCGGTGGCGATTTTAGCATGTAAATCTTGGTGGGGCAAAGAAACAACATATGTTTTATGCATGCCAGCAAAGCCACTACACAACACAACACTAAACAATACATTAATTGCACTATAACGGTGACCACAAACTGTTAGGGCCTACATAAAGCTGTAAAGCTGTCCCAACAGCAGAGTCCCAACACCTTACCACTGCTACACCTGCCTTTCAGCGGAGCCTTGTCTGGCAACGAAACAGTTCATTCAGCCTAATTTACTGCCTTTTTAAAAAACATAGCTGATATGGCTGACTTGCTTAAACAAATGTGGTTTCTACTGACAATTGAGATGTACAAACTATGGCATAAGGGGACGACGAGCGGATAAGAGGCAATCCGTAATTTCAATGAAGACATTAATGAAGTTACAATCTATCTGCAATATTAAAGCTGATCACCGAGTTCCGAGTTTCCAGTTGTTTTGAGCGCGGCAGAAGTCATGCTGGATTTAATGTTTATCCTTTTAAGCTTGGAAAAGAGACCCTTAAACCCAGACTTGAGACCACACACCCATTCCACTGAATAGCAGGCTAGTGATTGCTTTGCAATGCTTGCAGTTAGCCACTGATTCCTTCCAAACCACTCATTGTTGAATTTGCGATTTCCAATTTGTTGTGTAATGTTTATGCCCAATGGTCGATGAGCACAGATACGTTTGATCTATAATTTGTTTTCATTATTTCTCTTCATATGACAAGGATTGAAAAGGATTTGCCAGCAGATTGTTGACTTGATTCATGATAATGACTGCTAGCTTGCTAGGTAAGATTTTGATGTTGACATGATCAGTCCAATCAAAGCTACTGTAGATATAACGTGATTTGACGTCATTTTATCTGTGGCCAATGACCTTGAGCCTTCTTGAATGGGCACTTCTAATGTAACTCTATGGCAGCACCCAAGGGGCTTGAATTTTCTAGCTCTACCCTTAGATTTTGTGGCGAGGTAGTGTCCCCATGAGTGACAGAACACTGAGCCAATCACAGCGCAACTAGAGAACAATACCAACCCCTACGCTCTGTCTTTTCTGCTGGCTACCCCACCGCCACAGAAAGCACTGAGCTAGGCTGAAACACCTGCATTTTGGAGCTGCCTTACTCAAGAAAGCAAAAAAGAGACCAAGTTTGTATGCGGCTTTATTAACTCAATGATGATGATTATTTATTTTTTTACATTGTTTGCAAACTGATATGTGACACTTTTTTTTTTTGCTAGACAGGTTGTCTCAAAACAGGCTCTGCCCCACCTGCCTTGAATGATGGGTCGCCACTGAAAAGGAGGTTAATCGATTCAAAGTAAAGGAAGTCACTCAAATAAGGAAATAAGAATTCAACCAAAAACACAGCACATGATAGGATAAATATTTAAAGCACTTCTAGGTTAATACATTCAAATTCAAATTAAGATCCTACATCTCTATATGACTTCAAAAAAATCAGTGTGTGTGTGTGCGCGTGTGTGTGTGCGCGTGTATGTGTAATCAATTATGTATTTTACATGGCATATATCTGTGTGTGAATCATCATGTTTGTCTGTGGGACAGAAATGGGCGGTTTCTGTCCAGGAAGCAGATTCATCATTCACTGCCGGGGATATGACATCATTCACCAACAACTGTTCCTGTCTGAGTGACCACACAAGCGGTGGATCAACGTTTGCCTGCTTCTCCAGGTCTCACCACAGGGCGTCACCCTCTGCATTCTGTTTCGACACTAGAAAGCCTGAGCAACGTTCCCCATCTCTTTCCTCATGAGAGTTGCAGCCTTTAGGCATTTGACACATGATCAATGAACTCTCCCCTCATATTGCACTAATTATTATTTAACCACCTGGACCACATTAAGGGTTTGTGGTTAAACACGTGAGGTGCTACTTTTAGACTTTGCACCTCAGGTTCAGGAGGAGACATACAAAAGCCAGGTCTCTCTCCTTCACACATTGTCAAAAGAGGAGATACTGTCATTGTTTGGTGGTGTTGGGCATAAGATGGTAAGACTATCTAATAGCTGTCACTAATCTAATCAATGTTTTCATAACCAAATAATGATTTTGTCTTTCTCTCTGTGGCCCCTGTTGTTAACATTGTCCATTGTTTGGGATCTGAGCTAGTATGCGCTATCTAGATATTTATTTTTAATCAAAGGGATTAGAGAGCGTTTGACTGGCATTGGATAACTTTTTTGTACCTACAGATGTAAAGCCTTTGAATTATTGAAGTGGAAGACTACTGGCTTAATGTTCAGCCTTCTCAGCAGCCCCAGAGATAGTGAAGACAGGATCCAAACCTTTCATCTACCACCAGGCTTTGTAGAGCCGCTATGCTTTGCTGAAACAGCGTTTCGATCTGTATTTTAAAGGGTGTAGATCCACAAAGAGCTTAAATGCAAAAATATATTGTACTAAAAGATAACTTAATGAGAACAATTAGCATAACGGAGGAATAAAATACAAAAATCTACACCCTTTAAATGACAAAATAAATAAATCAAGAATGAATGCAATGTTGACTACTTTATACAAAATAATATTTATATTATTAAAGTCTAACCTCAACAGCTCCAACTGGCTTATTTTCATATTCCTAAGGTTCTGTTGGGTCCATTCTTTAGAAAGATTGCTCACCGGAGCAGTAATCTGACTTTACTGTGGTCACTAATGTCATTTCTATATTACTTCAACTGGACATAGACATGCACCTCCAGGACTCATCATGTGCTCTGGCAGAGAGGAAATATCTGAGACAACAGTCACACCTGGAGGGAGACATCCTTCCCGACACTCCGAAAACCTGGCCTGAATCCCCACTCACAAAAGCAAATGGTAAGTGGAGGAGGGGATTGAAACATCCAGGAATGGAATATAGTGTGACTGATTTACCTGCAACACTCCAGGCATAATGTTGAAAAGTAAACCATTTAATTCAGAATAATTGTTTGTTTTCATGCATGGTTATCCATTAACCAACTAGTAGTTCATCTCACTATGACAATAGCTTAAAACTTGTTATTTTAACCTGCAGATATTGCTTCCTCAAAGTCCCAGACTCAGGCAGAGAAAATGAGATCCGTTTTCATCAACATCTCCAAGATCCCCCTGCTCCTCCTCTTCCTGTACATGTTCGTCTGCTCGCTGGATGTCCTGAGTTCTGCCTTCCAGTTAGCGGGAGGTAACCTTCCTCAGGTTCATTCAGGTTCATCCATCCTATCACGACTCAGGATATGACCCAGATTCAGACACAGGAAGCGGATGGTTCAGTTCTCAGATCATTTATTATAACATTGGCATAAAAAAATATTTGCTGTGTGTTCCCCTCTGGGCGGACAGGTAAGGTGGCTGGAGACATCTTCAAAGACAATGCCATCCTGTCCAACCCGGTGGCAGGGATGGTGGTGGGCGTTCTGGTGACGGTTCTAGTCCAGAGTTCCTCTACCTCCACCTCCATCATCGTCAGCCTCGTCTCCTCGGGACGTAAGTCATACACACACACACATACACATACACACACACACACACACACACACACACACACACACACACACTCACACACACACACACACACACACACACACACACACACACACACACACACACACACACACACACACACACACACACATACACATACACATACACATACACATACACACACACACACACACACACACCTTCTACTGTACTGCGCTCTACTGTACAATAGGTCTGGATTACTGGAAGAGCAACTGACCTAAGTCAATACAAAATGAAAGGATATTTCTTGATGTGTTCCCTCAATACAAGATGAAAGGGTATTTCTATTTAAAGAATGGACTTTGTAATATAGGTGAATAGTGGTTTAATGTTGTGCCTGCTCGTGCAGTACTCAATGTGAGGTCTGCCATCCCCATCATCATGGGATCCAATATTGGGACGTCCGTCACCAACACCATCGTTGCTCTGATGCAGGCTGGGGAGAGGGATGAGTTTGAACGGTAAGAAACGGCTGTGTATCCTCCTCTCCTGTAAATCCTTAGGATTTAAACAAACCCTGAACCAAGTATCGCCACAGTTTGGCATCATGCATGATTTATAATAACACGGCCTGTGGATTGCAGGGCATTTGCTGGAGCGACAGTGCATGACTGTTTTAACTGGCTGTCAGTGCTGGTGCTGCTGCCCCTGGAGGCAACCACAGGCCTGCTGAGAAGACTGTCTCAGGCCGTGGTTGACACCTTCCACATCAGCTCTGGAGAGGAGGCCCCGGAGATGCTCAAGGTCATCACTGAACCACTCACCAAACTCATCATTCAGGTACTGAACCACTCACCAAACTCATCATTCAGGTACTGAACCACTCACCAAACTCATCATAAAGGTACTGTTGGGGTTGGGCAAAATGTGTGGGTAAACAGTCTGCACTGTGTGGCTTTGGTCAAACACATGAGTCACATGTCTAGGAATGTAGAAAGAGCTTGGCTTTCGATCATTCCTCCTTCCTTTGATCACCTCACATTGATCGATATTATGTTATATTCCCGTTTATCCTTGCAGTTGGATAAGTCTGTCATCACAGGCATCGCCATGAGAGACGAGGCCATGAGGAACAGGAGTCTGGTGAGGGTATGGTGTAAGAGTCACATCCTAACGGTAAGACCCAATGCCACAGGCCTCTCTTGATGTGCAAAATATCTGCAGTCACTGATTTGGTGGTTTCAAAGACAGATGTTTCTCTTTCATCCTCCTGCAGTCCTCTGTGAATGTTTCTGTCGGTGATTCCTTCAACTGTACGTCAATACAACCCTGCTGGCAAAGAAATGTATCAACCTGGACAACACAGAACATGACTCTACTTGTAAATATAAAAAAATGTAAATAAATATCATTTTTATTCTTGGAATTGAGCGAGTGTCAAAGTACTGTCACAGGGAAATATGTGACAGTCATACTGATCCCACTACAGTCCTGAGGCTGGGGGTGCTAGTTGGAACCGTAGTGGGCCTTTAGTGACAGATAAAAGCAGCAGAGTAGAAAGACTGACCCAGTCCTCTGTTGATGTCCCTAGGCAACCATTTGTTTGTGGACTCGTGGTTGTCCGACCTGGCGGTAGGCCTCATTCTGCTGGCCTGCTCTCTTCTACTGCTGTGCACCTGTTTGGTGCTGCTGGTCAAGCTGCTTAACTCCCTGCTCCAAGGCCAGGTGGCTAAGGTCATTCAGAGGATCATCAACACAGGTGGAGTGATCTAAAATGTGACTGGAAGATTGAGCTTAGAAAACATAGCTATGATTTTTTTTGGGGGTCCTGTGGTATATGATTGCAATGAATATCTATTTGAGGTGGTGCCGATTTGAGGTGGCGTCGATAGGCACTGCATAGCTTATTTGAGTTGGCACCCATAGGCTCTGCAAAGCTTTTTCATTAGCACTACAATATAGCTGACGTAGTCATTTAGTAAGCATAGCAACATTTAGGTTGTGTGAGGAAAACAAAGCTGTGATAAAACACAGAGGTAGATTATACAGTATGTAAAATAAAACAACAATCCCAGCATCTGACATATTTCCCTTGAAAGCTCTTTACTGAAACTCCACATACTGTAAGTAATGTGAATCTCCCCTCTCTCCCCTCCTCCAGACTTTCCCTACCCGTTTGGCTGGCTGGCAGGTTACCTGGCCATCCTGGTGGGGGCTGGCCTGACCTTTGTGGTCCAGAGCAGCTCAGTGTTCACCTCCGCCATCACTCCTCTCATAGGTGAGCGTTACAAACACTATTAACCATGCAGATCACTTTGTAAGTTCTGGGCTCATAAGAGTGCTGATCTAGGACTAGATCAAATCAGTTCAGAGTTAACCCGCATTAACCGGTACCAACAAAGCAGATCTTTTTTTTTTGTTAGGTCATACAGTGCCTTCGGAAAGTATTCAGACCCCTTGACTTTTTCCATATTTTGTTATGTTACAGGCGTATTCTAAAATTGATTAAATAAATACAAATCCTCAGCTATCTGCACACAATACCACATGACAAAGCAAAAACTGGTTTTTAGAAATGTTTGCAAATGTATTACAAATAAAAAACAGAAATACCCTATTTACATAAGTATTCAGACCTTCAGACTTTGCTATCAGACTCGAAATTGAGCTCAGGTGCATCCTGTTTCCATTGATCATCCTTGAGATGTTTCTCCAACTTGATTGGAGTCCACCTGTGATAAATTCAATTGATTGGACATGTTTTGGAAAGGCACACACCTGTCTGTATAAGGTCCCACAATTGACAGTGCATGTCAGAGCAAAAACCAAGCCAAGAGGTCGAAGGAATTGTCCGTAGAGCTCTGAGACAGGATTGTGTCGAGGCACAGATCTGGGGAAGGGTACCAAAACATTTTTGCAGCATTGGAGGTCCCCAAGAACACAGTGGCCTCCATCATTCTTAAATGGAAGAAGTTTGGAACCACCAAGACTCTTCCTAGAGTTGGCCGCCCGGCCAAACTGATCAATCGGGGGAGAAGGGCCTTGGTCAGGGAGGTGACCAAGAACCCGATGGTCACTCTGACAGAGCTCTAGAGTTCCTCTGTGGAGATTGGAGAACCTTCCAGAAGGACAATCATCTCTGCAGCACTCCACCAATCAGGCCTTTATGGTAGAGTGGCCAGACGAAAGCCACTCCTCAGTAAAAGGCACATGACAGCCCGATTGGAGTTTGCCATTAGGCACCTAAAGACTCTCAGACCATGAGAAACAAGATTCTCTGGTCTGATGAAACCAAGATTGAACTCTTTGGCCTGAATGCCAAGCGTCACGTCTGGAGGAAACCTGGCACTATCCCTACGGAGAAGCATGGTGGTGGCAGCATCATGCTGTGGGGATGTTTTCAGCGGCAGGGACTGGGAGACTAGTCAGAATTGAGGCAAAGATGAACAGAGCTAAGTACAGAGAGATCCTTGATGAAAACCTGCTCCAGAGCGCTCTGGATCTCACACTGGGGCGAAGGTTCACCTTCCAACAGGACAACGACCCTAAGCACACAGCCAAGACAATGCAGGAGTGGCTTCGGGACAAGTCTCTGAATGTCCTTGAGTGGCCCAGCCAGAGCCTGGACTTGAACCCGATCGAACATACCTGGAGAGACCTGAAAATAGCTGTGCAGCAACAACCCCATCCAACCTGACAGAGCTTGAGAGGATCTGCAGAGAAGAATGGGAGAAACTCCCCAAATACAGGTGTGCCAAGCTTGTAGTGTCATACCCAATAAGACTCGAGGCTGTAATCGCTGCCAAAGGTGCTTCAACAAAGTACTGTGTAAAGGTCTGAATACTTTTCTTAAAAACTGTTTTTGCTTTGTCATTATGGGGTATTGTGTGTAGATTGATGTGTCTGAGGTTTAACTGTGTTGGAGCTGTCAAATCGGTGAGCGGTCGCTCATGTGGTCATTGTCACGAAGTTCAGAATGAGAACGTGTAGGCTACATAGAAATAATGACACTGAAATTAAATAATGAGGATTTCTATCAGCCTAATCGAGGTGTGGATTACAGCCTAGGGCCAAAATATTTGTAAATATTTTTCTTATTTTATGTGTTTTTTGTGTGAATCATTTTATTTTATTTTTGTTTTTAATAGCCAAACAAGTATAGATTTAGTCTGAATTAAATAAAAAAGTTTCCTGCCCAATAAATAATGGCAAATAAGCTTTTGAAGATGGCTAGCTAACAATGCTAGCTAGCTAGCTGTTTTGATTTGAATACATCGGCCTACTTTGGGAATGTTTCTATGGTTTCCTTGATCCATGAGGCGAACCACAATGCAGTTGGCAGTGAGGAATTCAAGAGCATTCCTCCAAAGTAACGAGTGGACTGTATCCTGAGTGAGTGCACAGGGAGATAAAAAACAAACAGCATCTCCCTCTGTCCTACCACACGGAGAAGACGCAGACAGCAAGACACCTGGCTGATCACCTGCACCTCCCTCTGTCCTACCACACGGAGAAGACGCAGACAGCAAGACACCTGGCTGATCACCTGCACCTCCCTCTGTCCTACCACACGGAGAAGACGCAGACAGCAAGACACCTGGCTGATCACCTGCACCTCCCTCTGTCCTACCACACGGAGAAGACGCAGACAGCAAGACACCTGGCTGATCACCTGCACCTCCCTCTGTCCTACCACACGGAGAAGACGCAGACAGCAAGACACCTGGCTGATCACCTGCACCTCCCTCTGTCCTACCACACGGAGAAGACGCAGACAGCAAGACACCTGGCTGACCACCTGCACCTCCCTCTGTCCTACCACACGGAGAAGACGCAGACAGCAAGACACCTGGCTGACCACCTGCACCTCCCTCTGTCCTACCACACGGAGAAGACGCAGACAGCAAGACACCTGGCTGATCACCTGCACCTCCCTCTGTCCTACCACACGGAGAAGACGCAGACAGCAAGACACCTGGCTGACCACCTGCACCTAACCTCTGCTCAAGTCTGCTGCTATTGACTGTCGCTCCATCTGATGGAGGCTTGAAGTATTCAGAACGTTATAGTTTAGGCCTATTGACTGTCATTCCTATTTGTTATAGTTATTTGTTTTGCTTTTTAAACACCCTGAGATATGTTGGCTTGTATGTGCTGTGTACTGTAGTTCAGCTTTTAGCTCCCAGGTATGGCCCACTGTAAAACTGTAATAAACTAATACTTATTTTCCAGGGTTAGAACTTATAAACAATGCTGCATGGGATTTCTCTTAATGCGACTCCTTGCAGCCAATGGCAATGTCCGCTTTAGGTATAACGCCAGGAGCCGCTTGTGGATCTGACAGCTCTAACACAGTTCCACCTCCAACACGTCAAAACAAGAGCTATGTGGGAGTCGGCTAGAGCGAATCTGATTGAATCTAGCCTCTAGAATTAGCCCCCCCCCCCCCACTACGTATTCTTATTCATTATAATCTAATAGACAAAACGTATCAATACTAATTAATAATAATACTGATCCTAGATCAGTATTCCTACTCTGAGATGCTTAAGAATACGGGCCCTGGAATCTTCCAAGCTAAAGTTATTCTGTAGCCAGCCGACCTGACCAGGAGATCAAATGGCTCATTCCTCTGGCGGTGACAGTGACACGTCTGAGTTCATGAGGAGGTGGTACTAGTTAATCTTTAAGCCTTGGTAAGGCATTCATTTTCTCATTAATTTCAATTGGGGACATTAACCCAATTGAAAAATTCAGGGCTTGTTTTTGCTCTATTCATTGATGAAACACTTACAGGAGAAACAAGAGGTCATATTAATATGAATTAAGGTTGGTTTGGGATTGGGAATGAATGATGTGCATCTGATGATGGAGCCAGGTGTATTATTAGCCAGAGAGGAGGATGGAGGAGGATGGAGGAGGAGGATGGAGGAGGAGGATGCATTTCATGCTGTCTAATCCCCGGCATTCTGGGGGACAGATCTGCCTCAGTGTTCTGAGATCAGCAATAATTAACTGCACAGTGGCTGGACTCTCCCACGGAGCATTGGAGGAGCTGCGGCTCCATGGAATCCCCATTTCTGAGCTGGTTAATCCCTGGAGTTTAGGATCCGCTGTGCAGGCATGGAGACTAAGTCTTTCTCACACAGAATAGCTACTGCTATTCCCAAACTGGAACTAAATAACGCTGTCTCCTCACTAACCATCCGATTCCTCTACTAAACAATGTTTCAGTCCATGGAGTTGCAGCCCCATCACATGGCTCTGTGATGGCATTGTATTTGTGCTCTCAGGTATTGGTGTTATCAGCATTGAGCGTGCCTACCCTTTGACCCTGGGGTCCAACATTGGCACGACCACCACAGCTATCCTGGCAGCATTGGCAAGCCCAGGGGACAAGCTGGCTGCAGCTTTCCAGGTATATAATTCTCATCCTTTTAAACTGGACCTTCACACAGCTGTTGTTTGTTATACTTTCTACAGTGGTTTGTCTATTTACAGTGACTTGTGTTCCATGATCTCTCATTGCATTACCCTGGTCTGTTCTACAGGTCGCCTTGTGTCATTTCTTCTTTAACATACTGGGCATTCTGCTGTGGTACCCTGTGCCCATCACCCGCCTGCCCATCCGTATGGCCAGGACTCTGGGGCAGCGTACGGCCAAGTACCGCTGGTTCGCTGTGCTCTACCTGCTTCTGTGCTTCCTGCTCCTGCCCTCGCTCGTCTTCGCCCTCTCCATGGCAGGCTGGCAGGTGATGGCTGGGGTGGGCGTGCCCTTCGCCGTGGCCCTCCTCTTGGTGTCTGTGGTGAACATGCTGCAGGTACACAGGCCAGGCTGTCTGCCAGTGAGGCTGCGGAGCTGGGACTTCCTGCCTGTCTGGATGCATTCCCTTCAACCCCTGGATACCCTCATCACCAAGGTGACCCTGTGCTGCTCTAGAAAAGCCAGAGAGCCTGGTCTGATACAATGCTCCATGGACCCTGATGGTCCTCAGAAGAGGAGCCACATGGCTTTGGACAACCTTGCTCTGTGTTACATAGACGAGGCCCCCACAGTGGTAATGTCCCAGGGGGCAGACAAGGCCTCCACAGTGGCAATGTCCCAGGGTGCAGACGAGGCCCCCACAGTGGCAATGTCCCAGGGTGCAAATTAGGCCCCCACAGCAGTAATGTCCCAGGGGGGCAGACGAGGCCCCCACAGCACTAATGTCCCAGGGTGCAGACAGGGTCAGGAGCACACTGGAGAACATATGACACTGAAACAACAGGGAGATGGAGCAGAATGTCTTGTGAAAGCAGCATCGTGGACTGCAACAAATGAGCAGTGATGATCTAATGTTATGGAACAACGAGACTGGAGCAGAAAACTGTAAGAGCTTGTGGTTGCATGAAAACATGACTCCACTCACAATCAGTTTCCTTATGGATTGTGGAAATCATGCATGATGCCCGCAGCTACAAAACAGTGTTTACTGTAGTTGAGTTATGTCATGCACTGTACTACATTTTAGTCATTTAGCAGATGCTCTTATCCAGAGCGACTTACAGTTAGTGAGTGCATACATTTATTTGTTAAACATTTTTTTTCATACTGGCCCCCCGCGGGAATAGAACCCACAAACCTGGCGTTGCAAGCGCCATGCTCTACCAACTGAGCTACAAAGCCAAGGAATCATAAAGAGTTGATTATTTACTCCTAGTAACTCTATTTCCAGACAAATGTGTAGGCCTATAGCCTACAGGACATATTAAAGCAATAAGGCCCGAGGGGGTGTGGTATGTGGCCAATATACCACGGTTAAGGGCTGTTCGTAAGCAAGATGCAATGCGGAGTGCCTGGATAAAGCCCTTAGCCGTGGTATATTGGCCATATGCCACAAACCCCCGAGGTGCCTTATTGCTATTATAAACTGGGTACTAACGTAATTAGAGCAGTTTTGTCATACCTGTGGTATACGGTCTGACATACCACGGCTGTCATCCAATCAGCATTCAGGGCTCGAACCACCCAGTTTATAGTTATTATGATATCATCATAGTTCAACTTTCCCAAAATCAGGATAGCGTTGAACTTTCTATCAAAACAAACACTTCTTCCTCTTTGCTAACAGTCAGGAGAGGCAGTAAATGTGCAGCATGTCTGATTGAATAGCACGACAAAAACCACTCAGCCAATTAAAAGGCCTTGAAAAATGATACAAGTTATGCATATGAATGGCTGCGTAATTGAAGCTATGTTGGAAGGAATGGGCACATCCACTTGCTAATTATATAGTTCTGAATGGTTGATTAAACACCCATTTGGTGGCATAAGGGCCAGTGATTCCCCCAGTTTCATTTTAGGCTTAACGTCTCCTCGCTACTCTTTGAACAATTGGTACTTTTAGATATCAGCCCTAACCACATGCCAATTCCAGAGAGTTAAAATGAGATGATTTGATCATCTTGTTCAAAATCACAGTTATTGTGTATATAGGAGTTTCATATTTGGGATGAGATGGGAAGCAATTATGATATATCCTAAATGTATCAAGTCCACTGCGTGTAACACAGAAAGACATGAATCTGTCTTTCCTATTTAAAGACACAGTAGACCAGGGCAAATGGCTTTTCACCGGACCAGTTTCTCCAACCGAGCTTAGACAGACAAGAGAGTTGCCAGTGTTATGAAGCTAGAAGAGAACTTAGAAATAATTCAGAATATACTAAATCGGACAGTCTGCAGAGAGGGAGTTTGATATCATCCATGATAGCCAAGGACGATGGACGAAGAACAGCCATGAGATGGCAGGTTTTTCTTGCATAAGAAGTTCTTGAGGCAGACCTATTTTAGTGTAGACTACTTTTCTTGCGACAGTGCCCTACAGAGCCTTAAGGTACAGAGTACCTACGCTAAAGCTTACGTGAGCAGTTGTGCAAAATTGAAGAGGATAGCACTCTTTGCCCTCTAATCTTTGCAATTTAAATAATTTTGCAAGTTTAGCTTGAGACAGAGTACAGCAAAAAAAACTTTAAGTGAATTCAGGTTTCTTCCCAAAATATAGACCTATTCCTTCCCCCCCAGACTAAAGTTTAAGACAAACAGAAAAACAAATAAACATACATACTCACTTTAATGAACTTAAATGAATAAAACATGAGTATGTAAAATATGTGATATTTAACCCAAATGTAATCTAAGTCTGATGTGCAGTCTTTGCCTTGAATTCTGTGATTTAATTAAATATCTGCCATAATTGTGGTAGGAACGTAACATTAAATTAAGGAATGACCTCAAGGACCGACTTTGTTGATGATTTTTGCTCAACTGAATGCTGATGTCTGTCACGGCTGGTTCTGTTGTTGTCCTGGACGTCTGGGGAGCAGGGGTGTCAGGGTTTTATCCAGTTCCACTATCCATATCCCATGGATGATTTTAGTCATGACTTGACCAGAGCCCGTATCCACAAAGCCTCTCAGAGTAGGAGGACTGATCTAGGATCAGTTTCGCCTTTTAGATCATAATGAACACGATTACATGGAAAGGTTGGGGACCTGATCCTGTATCAACACTCCTGCTCTGAGACGCTTTGTGGATATGGGTCCAGGTGCGTACACTGTGTGTTATTGTACTCATTCACCATGTATGATTCACATCAGTATGCTGAGGAAAGTTCACACAGTACACCCATTATCTCCTCAAACTGTCACATATCCCTTGACAAGCTGGCAGTTTTGCATCATGCACCAATTGAAAAAGGCACGGTTGAAGGATTAGCATCTCAAGCGTTGGATTATAGCGAGCTGCAGATTAAGGAATCAAAACACTCCCGCCACTGCCTCCTCTGCTCACAGCCCAGGGGTGTTTATCCTGCCTGCGTCACTGGGTCTCCTTCACTCACTTACACACGTCCCGTCATCACACCGTCACAGCAGAGGAGGAGAAGATGGGACCTGGGGTCAATGCAGTCAGCTTGGATTAGTTGTAACAGGTAAAACCATGTTGATTCCTATGTCAATAGTCATGGGTTTAAATGCCATATCACAGTAAACCTTACCAGTTTTAGAAACATTTCAAACGTGAGACAAAAAAACGACACAGTGTAGTTTTACACCAAGTACTTTGAGGTTCTACCCATTTCAAATCCACATATTGTACCCTAAAAACTCAAACCCACAAGCAGACTGGGAATGTAAACGTGTTGAACAAAACAGACATCCCACTGGACATTAATCAAGTTGTTTCCACGTCATTTCAACCCAAAAAGTCAATGTGATGGCATTGAATCAGCATGGAAAACTGATTGGATTTGCAAAAAGTCATCAAATCCAATGTCATTGTGAATTATTTTGTTGGTTTCGCGTCAGTTGACAACTCAACCAAATATAAATCGAAAATAGACCTTAAACTGACGTTTGTGCCCAGTGGGATTATTCAATTTCCTCTTTGCCTAGCCCTTTGCATTCAATTTCCCTTTCAGATACTCTAACTCTACAATGCTATTTCAATAGAGTCATACGCAACCTTTTAGGCCTTAAAAAAATAAATAAATATGTGGTCTTATCAGTAGTCTTGCTGTTTCAGAGCTCCCATGAGCTCCTCCCCCTCACTCTCCAGGGTGAAGTGTCTAGTATATTCCAGCTACCTACACTCAGACAACAACAACAAGCCCATCTCCTGAAGGGAGCAACAAGCATTCCAGAAGATAACGCTGTTTCACTACGGGGCTTTGAAGTGCAATCCAGCCCTGGATAATGTATTGTTAGTGGCTTAATGCCCTGTTACAGAATATATTTTAGGGTACTTTGGAAGATTAATCTGATAGCATTGAAACGTGGGTAGGAAACCTTATATTTGTCGTTTTATATCTCATTTAATTACTGTGGTTTATGACACATACACAGTAATGTGAGAGCGTCGTTGTCTGTGAATATATTTAAATATTTACATTTTAGTAGACTCTCTTATCCAGAGCTACTTACAGGAGCAATTAGGGTTAAGTGCCTTGCTCAAGGGCACATCAACAGATTTTTTCACCTAGGGGATGCTAGGTTACCTGCCACCCCATATATAATCGATTCTCCTCACCTATGTAGGAGACCCCTATTAGAGGATTAACTGGTGTAGAATACACGGTCTATGACACAACAATAGTCACTCCTCCATAGAATATATAACAAAATGCCCCCAGGTATTGAAAATGAAATTGACCTTAGAACTTTCAGTTTGACATGCAAATCCTCTTTTCTGTCTGCAGAAAAAAAATATATACCAAAATAATGAATTCCTCTTTCACTGGTCATTAGCCATTCATGCGGCTTTGCGAGCTTTGAATTATGGAAGTTTTGAATTACATTAGAGAAATTTGCAGCATTCATGTCCTTTCTCCCCTATAGTTTCCTAATAGAGTAATACTTCCCCACCTCCATTTTCATTTTCTTTGTCTTGTAGTATGTTTTGTTCCCACAGAGAAACAGATTTACACATCATTATAAAATACTCCATCTAATTTAGACTGCTCCGGGTTTAATACCAAGGCTCAGCTTGTCTAGTTTTTTTTCTCTTCTATTGTGTCGCCCAAGAGAAAGTATTACAATGCATTCTTTAAAAAACATTTTTACCATGTTTTAGCAAAATAAATTGTTGCAGAATGTGTGCCTTTACCTTTCCCCTGTTTCAGTCATAATGAGAAGGCTTGACAAGTCCTTTTAAATCCCACATGGTTGAGACTAGGGCACGCAGACGTTGACAACAAGAACAACTCAAGACATACTCAGAGAATCTTCTGACCATGTGACTCTCTTGGACAAGTTCCCTTTTACTGTCAAAAAAAGTATTGATAGCCCTCAATAGCAAATTGGGATCATGTAAGGGTTGGGGTGAGGTGTGACCCAGGTGTGTTGCAGGATATACAGTAGGCAGTAGGCAGAGATGGTGAAACAAGGATCTTTACTGGTGGTCCCGACGCCAAAATACAAAATAACGGACCTATCACGATAAAAGAAAGGCGGAGCAAATAAGTCTCCAAAAACCGGCTGACAGCCAAAACACCTAAGACTGAAACAAATAACGAAACAGGGAGAACACTTCTCAAGTACCTGTACATAGATCTCCGATCAGACACTGAGTAGTACTGCTGGACATAGAGAAACTAGCAGAGAAAACTGAGCAAGG